CCCTCTAAGATTATTAACGAGAATCGATGTAGAATAGCAACACTTTATATTTGTTATTATTAGCTTGATATCTTGCCAAGAAAAAAATCCCGAGTCATTTATCTTGTTTCCGTCACAACAAATTGATAAATTACACAAAGCTTATTACAAAATGGCTGAACAAATTTCCTGATCATTTATTATAAAACAAGGGAGGTAATAGCACGAGCGTCGAATCGAAGTAACTAACGTATAATTACTAGAATAGACACAGAACAGAAAGACAAATTAATAAAAATATCCCGGAACAAAACCATGTAATGTTTGATTAATCTATTTTATCCGTAATTAAAACAATCAAATATTGCTGCGTTTGTTTGATGCGGGTTAAACCGATGTTTTGCATTGTTGCCTAGATTTCTTTATCGCCATTTCCGTATTGTTGGTTTCTTCCTGTGTCGTGAACCGTCAACTTTCGGATCAAAAATGAATTTTTTTTCGATACTAATCAAACAATCTGGGAATTAATGTTCTATTTATCACGCGCATTGTTTCCTTTCTTCGCTTGATTAGTCATTCGGGTGTGGGTCACACGCGTCAAACATCTTACAATGGTTGTTACGTTGTGCTGACTGAGCGCGAGGCCAGCTCGTGAGATCAAGCGCGTGCACTAACGATTTTGTCTCCAACTGGTTGATTTACGGAAGAGGGTGATTAATTTTTTTATTGAAATAACTGTAAATGGAAAAATGATATTATCATTACCATAGCAATACAATTACTCTTACATGATACTAGGTTAAATGTTGCCCTGCTCGCCCAGAACGCTGACCAGTCACAGCACGTGACGTCCCCTATACCAAATGGAATCAACAATGACCCTACTTAGTTGGTCTTTCCCACGATTTATTTTCAATGTCACTTTCAAGTATCCTGTAATAAAAGATCATGTCAGCCGATCTCAGATTATTTTAAGATTTATTTGAAAAGGAAGGGATTGGAATTTATTACATTCGAATATAAATGAAGTCTGATTTAAAGGTTTATGTCCAATGTCAACGACGCCTGAACAGAGAATATTGTTTTATCAGCATATTATGTATTAAAATAATTATACTAGTACACATCTTAGAAAACAACTAATCAATTATATTCTCTTAAACTATCTTATGCAAGGCAGGGTTAACACCTTTCGAAGCTGTAAACACTGAATAAATCAAGGTGCCCACATCTATATGAATACATCAAAATGAAACAAAATCATCATCATATTCATTCTGAAATTAAAATAGCCCTTTTCTAGATTTTATGTTAGCAAAATTCTGGATAATTTCATTGAATTGCAGATTAATGAAATTATTAAAATATTAGATTTATTTTACCATCATTTCTACAATGCACGTTTGCACAGAGCTTTTCAAATAGTAGATATCTGTTGTCAGCAGAAGTCCAATACAACAGTTCCCCCTTATCCCCTCTTAGGCATTTAATGTTACCGAGGAACTGACCCATGTTGTACATCCATTATATTAAGTCTATCTAAGTCCATACTTTACGGATATTCTCAGGACAAATACGCCAAACAAGTTACATTCCAGATAATTTGCCAGTTACTTATCCGAAGGCTTCAGCGTGTTTTCATTGAATATGTGATATATGCCCCGTACCGAATTAAGATGAAGACTGTATTTATTAAATTTCATGTTGTGTATTTTTTTGTTGTTTAGCATGGGACGCCTGTTTTCTGGACAATGCTTCAGCTGTATCGCCCAACAAATATTTTTGACGGATTTTTATATCTTCACTATGTGTGGATTCAGAATCCGGATGATGCCACCAATTCTGCATGACATAATAAGCAGACAATGTCACGTAAGGGTCATCTTGGATATTTAAATTTGTACCACGGTAAGTCCGGGACCTAATCACATGTTTACTTTGCTTAATGGTTAATCCAGGTCTGATCTTATGTCAATATCTATTGTCGAGAAATCAAACATTAATAACCAGACACAGTATGACAGTTTTAAAATCATATAGTGTCTTAAAGGTATACTTTAAAGGGGAAGTCCTTTTTTTAATTGATCTCCGAAAAGTGCTCTCTAATGGTACATCTTATGACCTGATAATCCGATTGTTCTATACCGCTAGTACACTTTTCCATGGGGTAATTAAAACACAGGAATAAAATTCTATTACTCGCTGGTAGAAAATACCCAACCAGCGACAAAACCCCAACAACCGTAACCATGGCAGTAAGACATCACTCGCACACGTCTTAGTTATAGATACGTAATCCAGGAACAAGAAACCTGTCTCGAACGCCTGACATCTTGAAGGTGGTAGTGTTTGTAAACTGATATTATACGGGATTTTGTATTAAATGAACCCCAAATGGGCTCTTAATTATAAGTACACTAAAACATATTAGTCAAATAATTATTCAAATCCATCAATTAGCTCTACTCTGTCTGACTGAACAAGGGTCGTGTTAGCTCTACCCGTTCCTTTTCTTACCGAACTGGGAGCCACGGTGGTTCAGCGGGTAAGACGTTGGCTCGGGATTTTCCGGCATGGTTCCCCCTTGTCAGAGATGAAGCACAGAGGGCCTGACAAGCGAATACCAATAGTCGTTCGGATGGGACGAAAAGCCGATCTCGTGTACACTTTGGCGTACACGTAAAAGATCCATTGGCAGTTGGAATTCGATATAAGAATACGTCGTAGTGCCGCTGTCCGGGCAAAATTTCCTTATGGCACACTGTATGGTGTATGTCCATCTTAATTAGCACAGTAGGACGTTAAGCCCCATTTCATTTCATTTCTTATTATTAACTCTTTCTGACTGAACTGGTCGAACCATAGCGTGGCTGGGTTATACCAGGTTTTTGCTGAAACTTGTCTGACTGTACTAAAGTACATGTAGTTTTAGCTCTACCCAGCTGGACTAGATTAGTTTTAGCTCTACCCAGCTGGACTAGATTAGATTTAGCCCTACCCACCTGGGTTAAATTAGTTTTAGCCCTAACAAGATGAACTAGATTAGTTTTAGCCCTACCCAGCTGGGTTAAATTAGTTTTAGCTCTACTCAGCTGAACTAGATTAGTTTTAGCCTTACCCAGCTGGGTTAAATTAGTTTTAGCTCTACGGTACCCAGCTTGACTAGATTAGTTTTAGCTCTATACCCAGCTGGACTGGATTAATTTTTGCTCTAAGCGGCTAGACTAGAGTGGTTTCCATTTGGACTAAAGTAGTTTTACCTCTCCTCAGTTGGACTAATATCTGGACTGAACTAAAGTAGTTTTAGCTCTACCATGACTGAACTAAGCAGTTTTAGCTCTACCAGTCTGGAATAAAGTAGTTTAGCTCTACTCTGTTGGGAAAGCCTAGGGTAGGTTTAGCCCTACCTGGCTTATTTGAACTAAAATTCTATTAGGTCCAACCAGTCCTAGAGTTGTTTTGACTCGATCCTGCTTGAATGAAAAACCTTAGTATTAGTTCTATCCTCTCTGATCAAACTAGTATTAGTACCAATATCATGGCGGACGTTACTAGAGTAGCTCTATAATAACTAAATTTTCGTTGCTATCGTTTTAACAAATAAGACTTGTCTACTCTTATCCGGGCTATTTTCAGTTCTGTTTTTGACAAAATTTGTTTTAGTTAGGGAAGTTGTTTTGTTTTTACTATCGTTTCAACAAATAAGACTTGTCTTATCTGGGCTATTTTCAGTTCTATTTTTAACAAAACTTGTTTTAGTCAGGGAAGGTGTTTTGTTTTCAAAGTACAGCAACTAGTGTCTCGTTTCCACTACATCTTTAATAAAGGTTGGTAAACTTCACCATACGACTGTAATGTCATGATTTATATAAGAGATGTAGCCTTATTGTATCATATCCCGTCCATAATCTATCCTTTGTTTATTTAAAGAAAGCGCTTTTAACATTTAAATCAGTGAAACTTTAGTCCTGAGCAGGTTTATCTCGTGGCATTCCTTCATCACCAAGCTTTGTGCAACATCGATACAATAGTTACAAGATATGAGAGGTTCGACTCACAGTTCGCATATCTTAGTTAGCTGACAGATAACAGATAAAACCCCAACATAGAACTTAATCTCTGTACACGGCCTTACCTGGTTCGTATTATTTTAAAATGAATGACATGTGCGGCTCATAAATTCACTGTCATTCCCTGTGAAATATTTGAATTTCAAATACAGATTGTCTAAAGTTGTATATGTGAAACTGTTGCTACCCATCAAAGGTCACCGATAATTATTCTGTTCATTACTATCTGAAATGGCGGTTGATTTGGATTTATTGTTACGTATGAAGACAATGACCACCATCTTCAAATCATCTGGATATCTGTGAAGATGTTCTGTAGAATTGTACGCGTCGAATAGGTATTGCGAAGAAACAACGCTCGTCAATAAAAAACTAAAGTGTTTTCGTTTCTTCAACCCCAAAGAATATTATCAAACTATGAAGTCCAAATGGATTAATTTATGTGAATGAAATTAAATAGTTGGATCGACCTTTAATTGTTTTAACAACATTGGAATTTTCTGTGGGGCGGCGTTATTGTTAGTGAAGTCGGATGAGATCGCTACAACTGGATTACAATTACAAGTACCGATATCCCAGCCAAATCATGTAAACAGACATATTGTACAATAAAACATCAGCAGTGATTATATGGAATACAGAAATACATTTATTGATGATTGTATCTCCCTGCGAAGGTGTTCGGAAAATAATATTAGCCGAAAACAGCCGTTTACCATCGCAGTAATTCCATTTCAAAACTGGTAATAAGATGACAATTTCGTTATGACCATGTGGATTTATTAAATAGAATTAAAAGTGTGCACGTTAAAAACATATTCTGCGTATAAAACAAAATGTAACCTAGGTTTGACCAACTAACTGCAATAGAACCCAAGGTTATTCTAATCACAGAATTAAGAAACAATTGTCCATGTGCTCTAAATAAAGCCTAAAATATATTGACTTTTGGAAATACAAAGAAGCTATTTTTAAATTTTCCAAAACCCACAGGAACTTTGTCTCTTACAATAAATAATCTGGTAAGTATTTAAATTAAAATAAAAAAAATATCCTGGATAAAAAAAATAAATATATATTTATATGTAATTTCAAATTTTCGACTTCTAATTTAAAATAAAAACCAAACACGTATCATTCCCAATTCAATAGAACACTATTGTATATTCATATATCAAATGCCGACAACCACTGAGATCCTTGTACTTGGTAAAACGAACAAAACCCACGTTTGTTTGTATTCCCCAGATAACTGTTTCAGAAAAAAATCGATTGCTTTTCAAGAAGTCACGGAAAAATAAGATATTAATTATGTAATACCAGATTGTTCAAGACTAAAATTTCCATACAAATAAGTTTTGTAACCAGGCTCGGATACATACACACGCCAAGGGAGTCACGTTTTATTGCTCTAACAGAAAGTGTACAAGTTTTATTGTCTTAAAGGTCTTATTTGTATTTTTAGGATATTATCCAATTTTTCACGGCTTATTCTACCCTAAAATATAACCAAATTGGTTATTTAATGAAGAAAACAAAATCAAAAGATCAACGATTAATAATCCCCCGGCTTGGAATCTGTCGGATTTTAAAAAAAGAGTGCATATCCAAATTCTAGGAGGCGTTAGCAGGTTTTGACCATATATTATACACTGTTAGAAATTTATGTAAAATTACAGTAGCACAAGTAGTTTTTGTACCTTAATTATCGGTATATTCTCCACAATATAGTAGATTTACCAAGTCTGGCGTATTTTTACGGAGTTTCGTGTATGTTTACAGAGTTTTGTGTCTTTTTTTACAATAGACGGTGATGAAATCAAAGACACATTCAAAATCAGTAAAAATACATTCTTACATATGTGATATTTCCAAACTGAACTGAAAATAAACAATCAAGCGTGTAATTTTACAGATCTTACGTTTATTCACAATATTTTGTAAATTTACTTTTAGGTTAGAAATATAAATAAAATTACAGCAGTTCTCACTATAATAGTTAAAAACTAGATAATGTAAAGGAAATATGCTGAAAATTTCTGTCAAATTCCTCCACTCTGAACCGAGATATTAGAAACTGAATGTTAAGCCTAGACTAGATCATCATTACTAAAGTCAGTACGATAAAAAAAACATACGCTTGATTATCCATTTTTGAATTTAATCATTAATAAGTGTTGAGCCCCAGATCGGACTCAAATCCAGTGAAAATCCAACACATAAGATGGCATCGAGAGTTGATTATGGTCTTTTCATGTTATAAATGTCTATAATAATTTAGATAACATTTCAGACCTAAAGAAAGACCTGCAATAGGCAGATTCTATTGCATAATGCATGTTTAACTTATTGGTAGTTATCGTATTCGGTAAATTTATTGTCTCTTAGCACGCAATTTTAGAGATTTTAATCTACTCACATTATTTTGTAAATTTTCAGGTTAGAAATATAAGTAAATTTACAGCAATTAAATTATTTGTTTTTACCATAAAATGTTCGGAATGTTTACCAAAATGATGTATATTTACCAAGTTTCATTCTTTTTTAAAATAAACTTTGACGAAACCAAAGGCACTTTAAACCCCGGTAAAAATACATGCGTAATATTTCAATATTGAACTGAAAATAGCAAAGCCAGAAGGTAATTTTACAGATTTACGTTTATTCATATTATTTTGTAAATTTACTTATTGGTAAATTTACTGTCTCCTATTTTATTTTAGTATTCCATAGCAACGAACCATTCCTAATAATTATCTTCTTATAGTATTCATTCTAATTTATTAACCATAATATGGACAGTCCCATTTTGTAAAATTTGCTATATTGCATGTTATATATATCTAATTTCCTTTATTTATACGATCTACAACGTGTATTATTATTCATTGTACGTTAATCAGATTGTAAGTATGTTCATAAACGTATAAACAAATGTTTTGACTTTCTGGCTATTGTCTGCGATATCACCTCGGTGGAAGCGGACGTAAAATACAACTAACTCATCATCATCTTTCTGGCTAGGTTGTATTATATCGTTAATTAAACCGATAGGCCAGTGTTTTGCTGGAGTGTCTCTAGAGCAGAGTTTCAATGCCTGCAGTAGACAGTACCGTAAGCTTACATCTGAAAGCCTGGAACCGCCGCAATCATTGAGCGGCGGTTTCGACTTGTGTTACCTATTGGCTTACAGGATTAGTCTTATGTTTTAATCAATTGAGATTGTATTTCTCTTACGGTGAAATTGTTGTTTAACTAAAAAAAAAGGGGGGGGGGGTGAGGGTGGTAAACGGAAGTTAAAATCATTGTGGTTTTTTTTTTAACATTTGTCTGTAATTTTTCATTTACTGCTTTTAGGTAAATTTACATTTGGAAGTTAAAAAACAAACTTATTGTAACCGCTCATTTACTGTGTTGCGGCGAATTTACAGTCCAAAGTTAAAAAACAAACCCATGTTATTTTCCATTTACTGTTTTTAGGTAAATTTACTCAGAAACTCTGTAATATTACAGCTGAATGTTTATTTACAGTACATTTACTGGCAACTTTTGCTGCCAGTAATTTTCATGTAAATTTACCAGATTTTTTCTAACAGTGTATTTCTTATCTGCAGTGGATCTTTGTAAATACTGAACGATACTAAAACATAGAACCATGTTTGAAATGACAATATTCCTTTGGGTTGTCCAACTTTCAAAAATATTGTAGTTCGTTCAAATAACAACCAGATTGTTTAATAGAAGAGGGACAATGCCAACTATCCTCTAGTCCAGTGACAGAAGAAATCGCCGGCGTACCATCCAATGTACTTTCTACGTTTCATAAAATATTTGTAAAAGTGCCCTCAATATCATTTAAAGTCCATTTTTTAATTCATTTTTTTTAAAAGATTGCCAATGCCATTAAGGTCAAAGATTGCCTTTAGAAATCAAAATGTGGTTTATTTTCGTAATGATTTGATTTTTGGTGAAACCATTAAAAATAAAAGCGGGACATTTCATGCGAAAAGTATCGATTTAGTTTTTTTCAAAACGAAACCAGACACATGCCCCAAAACGTAGTGCGAATCATAGTGGAATCTATACTCATAACATATTTTTCAATGTAATGAAATATACAGGAACCGTAGTGGAAATGGTTTAAGATGAGGAACACTGTTATAGTAATACCTTTCTTCTAATTTTACAATCCCAACGTATGATTTCTAAGATTTAAAGCACCCAAAACCTTATGAAAACTACATTTAAAGGGAATAAATTGAAACAAGTAATAAGTTTTGTCTCTGCCCTTGAGCAATGTAAAAATAAACAAATACAAAATTAAAAACACCGCCAAGTTGGAATTAAATACGGAGATCCGCTACTTTAGTTTCTTCACATTGACGTTTAATGAAACAAGGCGGGATTATTCGATACTTAACTGTCAATGGTCGGTGCTGTTTAATTTTAGCTATTATAAAAATGTTTTTGACGAGTTGAATTTTTCTGAAATATGACCAGTGTTTAAATAGTTCATTGTAGTAAAATGTATGAGACCCTACAGTCATTACTATTTTTTTTACGTCTTAACGTATAATTTATAATTTTAAACGCTCAAACCTTATCAAACCTCCGTCTTAATTAACATAGTCGGTTCCAAATACTAGAACTTTAAATCTCATTTCATTTCATTTTTATGAAAACTACATTTAAAGGAACCCTGAAATATGAATTAATTGGATCTGCTTCTCTTTAAAGACCAAAGACAAAATTCCGAGGACTAGCAATACGAGTATTGAAAGTTGGCCATAATTAATTTGTATTGTTTCGGAATGTCATTACAAATCTTCCACCGAGTTCCATCAGATTTTCACAATAGACGATTTCGTATAATTGAACTGCCAGAAATGGGCGAACATGTGTCAGTCGGTTGTCGTAATCTCTGGATGTAATAAAACTTTTATTGGTTGTTGATTGACGCGGCCATCATGGCGGACAGATTTAACTAATAACGTTAGTAATAATTACAACCAAGTTGGACGACTGTTAGTAGAAAATGTCGGCTCGATCCGTCAATATCTCGATCCTATTAAACCGCCATCTTATTGTCACATATCACAATATTAGAAAGCTATAAGGTCCATGCTATAACCCACCTTCATTCCTTAACTACTACTTCACACAAACAGGGCACCGCCATCTTAAATCACATGACGACACTAAAGCTACATTTATTATTGACCAATTATAAAATGGTGCCGTCAATTCCTGATAATTACTGTTACAAATTCTTCCAGATAGTCACCAGTTATGGACGCCCATGGTACCTTCTTTGGTCAAACCATGTATCCTAGAGAGAGTTACTCAACTGCAGGAATGATGCCATTCGCAAATCAGCAATCAGCATGTGTTTATGCCAGGAACTGTTCGCAAGGTGTCTTTGGTGGTCATGCTATGGCTGTGGTGGAACAATGTCTTCTACCACCAGAAGATTCAACAAATGGTGTTACATCGAGTCAGATTTCACCAGAGATCAGCAACAATCCGCAGCATGGTGGTTCTCCCGGTTCTCAGAATCCTCGCCACAATCCGATACCTGCTCACATTCAGACCCCTGTGATTAGTGCACCTGTTGCTATGGATGTTCCGCCTCCCGCTCACTCACAATCTCACCGGATCGGTGGCCATGACAGGGACCAGTTACAGTTTCCCTGGATGAAGACTACAAAATCTCACGCTCATCAATGGAAAGCACAGTGGCCCGGTAAGTAATTTTCTTGCTTGAAGACAGTTTTATTTCTATTAGTAGCAATTCAGCTACAGATATACTGATTTTCCGATATGTTTTTTCCATAAATCCCACCAAAGGCGAAAGACTGGTTGGTCTAAGTTCTTTCCTTCAAGGCTAAAGCCAAGAATTACTGTTTACAGTTAAAGTTAAGGATTAAAATTGAAGGTAAAATTTAAAAGATTAAAATTAAAGATTAAATTTAACGGATTAAAGATGAAAAATTAAGGAGTACAGTTAAGGACTGAAGTTAGGGTTTAAGTCAAAGGGTTAAAATTAAAAAATAAAATGAAAATTAAGCATTAAAATTAAAGGTCAAACTTAAGGATTAATTTTAAAGGTTAAAGTTAAGGATTAAAATTAAAAGTTAAAGTTAAGGATTGAAATTAAAGATTAAAGTTGAGGATACAATTTGAGGATTGGAATCAAAAGTTAAAGTTAAGGATTGCTATTAAAGGTTAAAGTCAAGGCTTAAATGGTAAGATTAAATTAGGGTTAACGGACACTCAAATTCCTTGAGTTGAAATTTTAAAACAAAAATGTATGGCAATAAAAAATTTCAGTTCGGAAGAAAAATAGTTGTGTATCTAAGAAATGAATAACAACAATAAACTTAACCAAAGAGGAGGGAGTGAGGGTACAACTTATCACCAGTTGCCGTCACGTGCATCTCTTGGGTCAGTGGTTTTTACAGCGAGATCAAATGAGCCAGGCGTTCAGATAATATAACATAATGGTCGAGGTACATTTTCCTCAACGATTATTGAACGTAATCTATTCAAATCAAATCAACGATATTACGCCCCTTTAACCGTGTTACGTAATTTAGAAAACCGATTCTCCTTCGGTTTAACCTTCTAAAACACGGAAGGAGTCACGGTGGCTCAATGAGTGAGTTGAGTGAGAAAGTACCTGCGAATTTTCCAGTGTGTTTTCCCCTTATCAGTGGTGCAGAACAGATGGACTGGCATAGAACTGTGTCTAGTCGTTCGGATGGGACGAAAATCTGAGGTCCCGTGTATAGGTTGAGGTGCACGTAAAAGAATACTTGACAGTTGAATTTGAAATAAGAGTTAGCTTGAAAACTATAATAAACTGAAAGTAAAGAAGTAGGGTGTCACTGCGCACAACGTGTCTTTGCTCAATAACATGTTTTATCCAGCGTGGAGTGAAAAATAAATTGACCGCACCACAAATTAAAATTAATTATTGTGTTTACGGTGACCTGACCGAGACTATTTTGTTTTAGTCCAAATTGAACCTATTTTCTCGTTTCTCAAGTCTTATAAATCTGTGGTTTACTGCAGACACTGAACTATTCGTATTACAACAGTCAGAACCGGCATTATTTTACAGAACAACCTTACTCAGTAATTTAACTAGAAATGTAAGGGAATTTACGGTATTTAAAATGATATCAAGAAGATATAGACTAGGTATCGGTGTAGTTTATTGAAAGGTTAAGTTATTTGTCGACCTATTTCTATTCAGTATGAAGCAACTATGGCTAAGTGAGTAAGCCTGGGGGTCGCGGGTTCGTTCCCTCTGTTGGCCGAGGGAGTTCATCGGGATGTTCCAGCGTGGTTTCCCCTTGTTAGTGGTACGGAAAATCGAGGTCCTCTGTACATTTGGAATTCGATAGCGCTGCTGTCCGGGCAAAATTTCTCTCATAGCACACTGTATGGCGTAAGCCCGTCTTTATTATAGTCCGGTTGGAGCAGAACAGTAGAATGTTACACCCTTTTTGTTTCTATCTACTCTTACTCCACAAATTCAACAAAAAGAAACCGAAACATGGGTAATTTTTTATTTGGCCTTATAGGAAGTAGTTGAGATCTTATTTCTAATTTTTTCCTTATAGCTTTGAATTCGAAAAAAAAATCAATTTATTTAATGTTTGCGAATTAAGCCCCTACAACGCCGTTTCAGCCGCCATTACTGCTAAGCAGCTAAGGGTATGTCAAAGTTTGTTCTCTTTACGAAACTTTATAACCTTGAAATACCGAAAGTTGTTCATGAAATTATCCAAGGAAAGGATATTTCTAAAGAAATGTTACGATTTTTCATGAACTGTCAATAAGCGCTGAGAAAGCAACAACAATTTGAAAAAATTCATTAAATAAATAATAAACTGATAATATATATATATAAAAAAAATTAAGTTTGCCATAAATTAACGAAATTTATTTGACACTATATACAATGGCATCTTGATAAGAATATATTTTGTTATTATTACATAGCAGCTAGATATATTGTGTTAAATAAAATGAGCCTTTTTGTTAAAATTTAATAATAAATGTAAGAGAAAAAAAACATATTATCCCCTTCATGGAATTTGTTCAAATATTCTTTTAAAGTGCTAATGCGTCATTTTAAACAATATAAATCACTTGCATACTACAATATTGTGATAGATTAGCTTGATAACTTTGAGAGAATACTCTTCGAAACGTCGCTCAAATAAATAAATAGCTGTTTTTCCATAAGTATGTGTTATAGTTTATTGATGGGCCTAGTTTAAATCCGATTGACTCCAAACCGGTTGGTATTTTGATTTTGTTTTCTTAAACATGCATTATGCAAGAGCTAAATCTGCCTATTTCAGGTCTTTCTTTAGGCCTGAAATGTTATCTAAATTATTAATTAGACATTAATTAACCTATCCAGGCCATAATCAACTCTAGATGGCAGCGCTAGCCTGCGATCATTAGTGGATTGTAAGCCGATTTACTGCGTAACTTTCCTTTTCTATTAAACAATTAAATGGATAATCGAGACTATGCTGTTTATCGTACCGACTTTAGTAATGATGACCGAGGCTCATGGGAATTTCAGTCGCTTAGTTCTTGGTTCATAGTGGATCAATTTGAATGAAATTTTCACCAAATTGCCTTTACATTATCTAGTTTTTAACTATTATAACGACAAATGTCAATGGCGCATCGGAACTTTAATTTGTAAAATAAAACATAAGGAGAGTTCGATAGAGTTCGAGTATGTTTATCTTTTCGACATCAAAAGCGTGTTGGTTAATTGCTTTCGACCTTTTAAAAATTTGATGTATAGAAATATATTTCCTTGTTGGTCACTGTTTGCAAAAGAACGCCCTTGTCAGTAACTGACCGTGTATAATAAATATCTAAAACATTAATCCTTTAATTATTACACGGATCTACATGATTGTAAAAAGATTTAAATAATTCTAAAACTCATTCTCAATATTTTAAATAGCTTTTAGTTCATTGGTAATATCTAAATTTGATAATTGAATTTTTCTGAAAAACGCAAAGCACATAATTAAACATTAAGTACACGAAAATTAACGCTTCGGAAAATACAAATTTTAGAAAGATATGTGAAGTGCATATTATTGAATTGAAAGTGGTTTATGGAATCATCATGCAGTATTTGTATCGTTGATAATAGAATTTTGTCTAATGATTTAAGTAATTAGCACGTGTCATGCCGCGCCCAAAATGGCACATTATAAAATTAAACAATGCTCAATGATACGTTTGAAGTTTTCTGTCGTTTCCTAGAAGTGTTAAGATTGCTATTAAAGCCAATGCCCTTGGTTAGAATTACTATAACTTTAAAACATAAACATAAGGTTAGACCCTCCTGGTCATCTGTTTAAAGGTGTCTTACAATATTTAACCCCGGTGAAATCATCCCCTGACTGATTAGATATTGTTATAATTATACACTTTTGTTTATAATGACCGGTCACTCTTAACTGGACAATCAGTTGACCCCCGGCTACCTTCAGCTCCGACCATATGTCAATCACCAGTAACCATTCGCTGTCACTAAGTCTTCATTTGGACTGGACTATATGAAGTCATTAAAGGCACTACTGGAAAAAGGTCTAATGTCTTGTCAATACAATACTTCGGTCATTTTCAGACTAACAAACCTTATATGGTCACGTGTGCAATGCAGGAGGGGGAAGGGGCAGCAGCGTCGTTCAACTTACTTTTCATCAAATTCCAACTGGCTCTTTTTTGTTCAATCCGAGGGACTATGCGCCAATTAACCTGTCATGTCGGCACACTCTATGATGGGATTGAGAAAATCCGAGATTATTCTCGACCTGTTCTGGGATTCGAATCCTGGACATTCTAGTCGGGACCCAGTGCTACAAAGTTCCCCGTCACCCACAAGACACAACTAGCCAGATCGTTCAAAACAGTTGTTTATTATGTAATTATAAGCACATCCAAGTATGTATTTTAAAAATTCTTTATTAAGAATGAGCTGGATGGTGTGCTTTTGCAGGCTTCAAATGACTGACGGCCAATAAATAAAAAAGACGAACACATGCAGATTATAAGGTTTCCCAATCCAATCAGATGATTATACGATTACCCCTTGATCATTAATATCACAGCAAGTCAGATCGTTCACCGTGTGAAAAAAAATATGTACTATTTTATTGTAAAGCTTGTTATTATTATGCATATAAAAACGTTGATAAACAATGGAATGGTTCGCGTGGAAGTGGTAGCAGAATTAGCATTAGTTTATTAGTTTGGGTGGATAATTGAGGCCGAGGGTTTGTATATTGGTTGCTCATGTCAATAGTATGAATATTTTGTTTATAACTTATTAGCATCCCCAGTGGTCTCATTCCGCTCTACTGCACTATAGAGACATAAACCACTTTTCCATTCATAGAACTTAATATCTGAAAGTATAATATTTTTAATGACTTGCAAGAATAATATTGAAGATTGACATTAGTAAGCCTATAAATTAAAATTATTAGCGAGTGTTAACCACTGTTTTCGGCCATTGATAATGCGCTTTCAGTTCTATACACAGTAATGTTAGTGCTCATTCATCCATCGCCATTAAAATGCTTTAATGATGACTACGTTAAAACTTAAAGATTGTACGATAGGCTGTTTTTTTTTTTTTTTTTTTTTTTTTTTTTCAAACAACTTCTAGCTAATTTGAAAGCGATGGTTGTGCATTTAACACCAGTTTCGCCTTTTTTCTCGTCAGAAAAAGGGTTAGGTTTCTTGTCAGTCTAAAGTTTCCTATTTTATATGCACAAAAACATTCGTGGATTGTTAGGCTAGTCCCGAGGGCGAGCCCTGTCGAATTTTAGACTTGCCCACTAATTATATGCACAGTTATCCCAACTGCCTCTTAAACCATCTAAGTGCTCAACAAGCCAAGGGTTTTGAGGAAAAAAAAGCATGCTGGGGTTGTCCAACTAGTCATAACCCATGTCAATGAAAACTGTCAAAGGTACTTCAGCTTCGAGGTCGTTTTTTCAGACTAATTAATGCACTGCTAACCAATATTGACAGTAAATTTTCAGACATATATTTTATGCAGAGTTATTCCTCTTGTCAACCAAACCTTGTAAACGATCCACGATTCCACACCCCAGAAATGTTGAGCGATGAATTTTACAAGCTTGAAGGAATTGTTCGGTTAGGCAAACGAGTATACATATCACACGATTGTCCTGAAATGACATACTTTATCCCTGTATTCTATTCGCCCCAGCTGCAACTGGGTCCTGGTAAACTAAACGTAGTACGAACATTCTGTATGATGTATAGAAATGACTAGTTTATGACAGTATATTATGTGCCCGGAGGAATGAGCGACTTCCACGAACCAGACGAAATACGTTAAAGTTACATTACGAAAGAAACTTTTCAATATCCAGAGCCACGGATATATTTTTCCCAAAGTTATTGCCCCTGTTACAGAAAGCGTGTAAACAGTATGAGCCTTTCCAAAATTCTGAATTGAAATGAAAAGGGATTTAACATCCCATTTTTCTAGCTTCAAAAAGCTACTGGTTTATATTCGTTGCTTGGCAATGATATGTTTGAAAGATCAGATAAGGCCTACTCATACAATGAAATTGATTTATCTTTACAGGAGCGCAGTTCACCATAGAAGACGAAAACAAGCGAACAAGAACAGCTTACACTCGGGGTCAACTTCTAGAATTGGAGAAAGAATTTCATTATAATAAATATATCTCAAGACCTCGACGTATCGAACTGGCGGCCATGTTGAATTTAACTGAACGACACATCAAAATCTGGTTCCAAAATCGAAGAATGAAATGGAAGAAAGACGAGGCTAAGCAGCGACCTCTACCGTTAGAATTATCATGCGCGTCACCTTCCTCTCCGGGAAGTCCGTGTCACCCTGGAAACGACGATAACGAGGACAATAACGATAAAAACAACCCAGTGAAAAAAACTATACCTCGGGATGAATTAGTGTCTTCTCTGAACTCCTCGACAATAATTCGTGAGAAACATTCGATTCAAACTATGAATCCCTCTTCAAAGAAGAAAATAAATTTAAAGGAAGAAGCAAAATAGTGAATGTATAAAATTAGACGATTGTTTAAATTTGTAGCTTTTCAGAATTTACCTCTTTAAGTATTTTTTAGAAACGAACGAATAAAATACCAACTGATAACAATCTGAATAAAGTTAGCTTTTGACTTGGTGTAGTTTACCTTTAATAATAGGCTACATATAGATTTCTTCCAAATTTTAATCTACATTTGAAACGCATATTTAATAAAACTTGAAACGGCCATTGATGAAACTGAGAAAAATTAGACCAGAGCTTAAACTGGTTCAACATTTCAAACACTCCATTTCGTTCATTTCACATGCATGGTGCGGAGGAAAGAGATAATCTGAAGGTTTGGTCGACATGCTTGTTACTTGTTGGTAACTTGGTAATTTTCATTTCTGTGGTGTGGTAAAATGAATCGTGGGGTTGAATCAACGACGAATTAGTCAACTAATGCAGGGGACGTAACTCTACTTTGTGAATATCAATCGTACAGACCACCATAAAGCTATGAGCAAGTGCAGATTAAATTCTGAAACATTTATTTTTCGGATTATCTCACACAGAATTCAAACAGTTTAGATGAGACGCAAGCATATATCGTATTCAGTGTTATTGTGCATGAATGACATGAATACAAAGTCGCAATTGATAATGTACAGGACCAGACACGTCTATGCACACAAATCAATTTATGTCACTTTCTCTATGGTGCTTTGCGATTTTCAAACAAGTAGATGCTTGAAGCATTCCAAAATGTCTTATGCCCGTCTTTATTCGCATTATATTTACATTGTTTTGAGTCTGGCCACTAAGACCATGAGACCCCTGTCAGAATGGATTGGCGTCCTTACTGTACTGCTACGGCGACGGAAAATGGTCTCAGAGCGTGGTAGAAGCGTGGTGGAAACGCCAGATATCATGCTGTGTTCTCCATGGTCGCAAATGATCGCCGAATCACGGCGTTTATTTTGAGAATGTCCAAAACAAACGCCAATGGTCTGCGATCTGACCTTGAAAGCTGTGAGACCGCGGCTATTTTCAAGATTGTATATTTTAGGGAATTTTTCTTGCCTTGTGTTCAAGTTTGCCGGTGACCTTGTGCATTTACGGTCGCAGTAGCGCAGTCCTGGAAATACTTCAGGACAATATCTATCGTGGTTCCCCCATGTCAATGATGCAGGACGGAGAGCCTGACAAGGACAGCTGTCTAGTCGTTCGGGTGGTACGGAAAACCGAGGCCCCGTGTACACTTTGGTGTGCACGTAAAAGAACCCTTTACAGTTGGAATTCGAAATAAGAGTAGGTTTTAACGCAGCTGTCCGGGGCAAATTTCCCCATAGCACAATAGGACGTAAACCCCCATTTCATTTCATTTCATTTTATTTATACTAACTTTGCTTGATATGTTGGGAGACATAAATACGCAGTTAACTTACTAATGATTTGTCAATATATTATAGTATATAAGATGTTATAAGATTTCAAAAGCCACAATCAATATGTACTGTATTAAATAAAATTATTATATATTATTATAAAGTAAATTTATAAATATCAAGCTTCAAAGAGCTAGAATGAATTTATTTGACTAGGAACGCTCGGGGTTCTTTCTTTTCTTATCTTTTTTTCAGGAATGTGGGAAATAAGAATGTCTCAAACTGTTTAGATGTTATAAATTGCACATTAGGTTTTTCGGTGAATTATGGCGGCAAACCCATTATTTCGATGAATGTGAAAGATATCTTGATCATCTTCTCGTTCTTGCGCTTGTGTCAGTTCACTCTTAAGTGCTACTCCTCACCCATAAGCCAACTGAATCGAGTGAACTGAAATGGTAAGGAATCCTTTAAAGATTTATTTACTCGTAGTTCGTTTAGTTCTTGAGTGTTGCTATGTTCATGTTCGGCTTCCCTGAAGCAAGTGCCAATGTATGGTATGTCATAGCTCAGATGTACGCCATATCAATTCTAGCATGTGCCAGAGAACCAAACAAAAAAAACCCCGGCGCTGACAACACCCCCTCTCTAAAGTGCCCTAAGTTTGATCTGTCTGCTCTCCCCCAGAGGCCCCAGCACGCCTCTGGATAATAGGAATAAGGCTACTGCATCCCTAAACTACATTCCACATTCGATCACTCAGTCGATCTATATCTATGATTAAATACGAGTAAAGTCGACTATCATTGATTACAGGTTACTAATATATAATTACAATACTAACAGAGAGAGAGAGAGAGAGGGGGGGGGGGTAACGTCAACTCGACAAACCAGGTCATTTCGGGAATAACATGGTTCAATTTAATTTTATCCAAATTCTAAATTAAATTATTATATGGCAATCGAGTTTAAATCCGTTTTATATCGCAACAACCCGATGGTTTTAACAGTTAATTACTGGCTTGTGTAAGCAAATGTCTTAGTAATAGTTTATTTAACATTTAAAGCCAAAAAAAGACCTGTAATAGGCAGATTTAGCTCTTACATAATGCACTTTTAATTAATAACCAGCCGCTTTACCAATTCTAAAGTAGTCTCAAATAGACAGGTCCATGCCAGGCAAAAATGGCGCCGTTTTCAGTGGATATATATTCTTTGGATCATAATCTTTCAAATAAGCTTCTGGGCCACCCTGAAACTTGCCTCAAATCCAAGATGGTGACCAAAAATCCAAAATAGTCACCAGAATAGCCAAATAGCATGCTTTTAGCCATTGATGATCCTTTTTCAACTGATTGTGGCCTATTATGATAAAGAAAGATAACTCAGCCATAAAAAAATCATTAGTTCATACAGAAATCCAAGATGGTCACCAATGCTGGCCACCGATAAAGCAGATTCAGCAATGTCTCATGCTCCATAACGGATAATACAATAAATTTTGATGCAATTTCTTGGTTTCCAAAGTCTGGTTATCCATTTAGTTGCCTCAAATTTGGCAAGAGTAGATGCAGAATTTCCCTTTCAGATTCCTTGAATCTGGACGCAAAGAAAAGATTCCATTAATCCTGGCTTAGCGGATTCGGCGAATCCTCATAATCACTGGGCTACATAAAGACAATACATTTTTTTTTGCACAGGAGAAAAAGGGTACACAATTTCATCCACGCTGATTTTGAGTTTAAAAAGGGGCGACAAACCGATGTGTTGTCTCTGTGATGAAATTATTAAGGGCGATGAATCAGCTTATAATTTGACTGAGGAAGGATTGACTTCTATCCAAGAATGAGCGGCAAAATGGGTTAAAGTTGGTAAAAGGCTGTGTACTCAGGCCCCACTTGCCGAATTTGAGACTATTTAGTGCATGCCTTGATGTCCCCTTTCATGAGAACAGAATTGCTCGATAGGAAGCCCAGTCTCGCAAACTTCCCGTTTGGTCCAGATATTTCAGTTTTTGAAACATTTCAAAAATCAGAAGTACCATTGAAATTTTTAGTATAAACATTTTGTAGAAGTAGACTGTTTAATCTTTACATCGATTTTCTGATAAAACAAAATAGAAGTGTGTCTATTTGGGGGTGGGGAAAAACTCCTCTAGAAATACACATATTTCATTCTCTTCTCAAATGGAGAGATGGAGAGAATTACAAAAAAAACCCCACACGACTAATATAGTAAGTGCAGGAGGACCGCAAAACAAAAATCTACAAGATAAACCTGCGGACAAGGCAGAAAATAGACATTGCACCAAATAAACAAATATCAAATCAAGTGAATGGATCCGGGGGCCACTCAAATTTGAAAACAATCAGGAATACAAAAAAGACGTGATGCGACTAATCTTGACAGTGTTCGTCTTCTCAATGGCGATAGTCTGCCAGTTGACGTCATGGGTTAGAATCATCGGATTATTAAGTTTCAACGAATCATTGATACATAATAAATATCAACATAATAAATTACAAAATCTATAAATTTCATTAACAAAAAGAAACAACAAAATGATCAATGTCAAGGCAGCAACTGGTGTCAAACAGTTTCAAATTGATTTTCGTAGAAACGTCTGGATTGACGTTGCTTTAGCAGTATTCAAGGCAGTAGCTCACCAGCCAGGGTTATATAGACAATTCACCAGATAGGTAGGTAATATTTAAATGAGATATTTGATGATATTCGTCATATTATTATATGTAATTAGATATTAGATAATATACGAGGGCTAGCTGAACAGTTCTAAGCCTAAAATGGATAGATCAATTGGGTTGAAACAACCTTGCCACCAATAAGTACAATATCATTGAATGAATCATAGACATAAGAACTGCAACTATAGTGTTATTATTATTGTCTTCGTACTAGACCATCTTGTGAACCTACCCATGGAAATCACCAGAAATGGATAAAACTGGCAATAGGGCAGTCATCAAGTACCTGCGGTTAAAAGGCCTAACCAACATAGATACATGCTAACATGGTCCCCACTTTAGAGGATCATGCCCCTTCCTTTTCCACAGTATAAAAGGGGGCCGCGGAATTTCAGCGTGACAGAGAGAGCCTTGACGATGACCCTCGCCGTTGAAGGCCATCAACAGCAACCATTCAAGAAAACATTAACCTGGTGCATGATATGGGTATGGATAATCGACGATTGACTACTCGATACATTGCCAGAAAATGACTTTCTGACCGGCATCTAGGCCTTGCAACATCATTGGTAAAAGTGTGTACATATCGAAGGAGACTGTGTAGAAAAATAAATTAAAACCATCGACTTTGTACAGGTCTTTCTCAGATAGGCTTAGATTTTTTAGTCAGCCCTCGTCCATATTATGTTTAATTATACAGAGAAGCCAAACTTAACGACTCAAGCATAAGTAGAAATTAATGTAACCAAAACACAGGCCCTAGGTTTACTCATTAGCCTACTAAATCGACTGATATTGTGTGCGGAGAAAATACAGCTATCTATAATTAGTTTTCGAGCGATAATTACGTACGATATGTGCTGTACGCATGACACAAATTTAATACAATTAAGCCGGCCGATAAACAAAATCAATAATTTCACTATTCGATTTACGAATATGCAACCCATTGGGGGTTTCGCGGTTGCGATCTTGCAGTATTGTTCTTCTTCTGTAGTGATACTATTGTCAACCCTCAAAATAATAAAATTATAAATGAAAGTTTTGATTGGTGTCATTTAATCCTTAGATCGATAACAAGTTTAAATTCTTATAATATGGATTTGAAGGGTTGACATTCATCATATTATATTTGTTCACAATCAGTTTACGAGTTCATTTGGTTTATTTTTTCGAATATCAAAACCTACTTTGTATATAATATCTACCAGTGCCCATTGATTGTATGCCATGAAGACTCAAGTATAGGACCCAGTACTCTCCGTTTCTGTGCCATTAAGGTTCAAGCATAGAACCCAGTACATTCTGTGCCATTAAGGCTCAAGTATCAGTAATCATTGATTGTATTCCATCAAAACTCAAGTATAGGGACTGGGCTAATGAAGATGGGCATACGCCACATGAGGGAAATTTTGCCCGGACAGAGGCACTGCGGCCTACTCTTAAATCGAAATCAAAATGTCAAGGGATTTTTTACGTGCTCGGCAATGTATACACGGTACCTCGGTTTTAGGTTCTATCCGAACGACTAGACAGCTATCCTGGTCAGGCCCTCCTTCCTGCATCACTGACAAGGGGGAACCACGCCAGAAAATCTGGATGAACTTACTCTGTCAATGCAGGGGTCGAACACCCTCCCCCAAGTATAGGGCCTAGTACTCCTTGCTTATATGCCATCAAAACTCTGTAAGGAAGGCAATTTAAACACGTAAAACAATATTAAATCAGCTTTATATACAAATTAAATAGAAACCAGCCACATTAATTATGTTAAGTCACGTTCTTTGCCACAAATCAGATCTCCAGGAAGAAAACACTTGAACTCCTTTTTTATAGGTTCATTACTCCGGCCTGATATATTGTTTGATAATTTGTACTTGCAATTTAGAAGTCAATATAGAACGTAACCTTGGATCAGTACACCAATCGAGAGTTGAATAGACGGAACTCGAACTGCCTAACAAAATTTCTAATAATTCATTGATTAAGATGCTTACTCAGTCTTTCTAGAAAGCCTGATACCATACATTCTGCTGTTCTCCTCAGAACTACCAATGGATCTTTTACGTGCATGTCCATGTTTACATGGTATCTCGTTTTTTTGTTTTTGTCTCATCCGAATGACTATACTTTGTCTCTTGACAGGCCTCCGATCCTGACAACCTGACAAGGTTGAACTACGCCGGAAAATCCCAACTAACCCACCAGCTTCCCGCTTCATGCCAATTCTTATGTGAGTCTGGCTAAGATACGTATCTCTGTTATTTCAATACATGTGCTTTTTAACATAATTGGAGTCTCACGGTGTATGGACAGGACCTACGTCTACAGGCTAATGTGAGTCGTGTACGAAGTGGGTATGCCGATCCTGTGGTACTGTTTTGTCTTGCTCCTTAGCGTTTTTTTAATTTTATTTTCAGACATTAGCCCTGACTTGTAAACAGCATGGAGGTACAGACAGACAGGATTATCTGTAGCATCTGTTTAAACGACTTTATAGAACCTAAAATTATTGAATGTGGACATGAATTTTGTTTGAAATGTTTGGAAGAGTATGTCCGTAGACGTGGTAAAGTTGGTAAAGATAATCAGTTCCCGTGCCCTCTATGTCGCAAAGATGTCACCATTCCAGATAGCGGAATTAAAAGCTTACCGTCTACCAGCTCGAAGGACAAATCCATTAATAGCCTGAAACCAAATTGTGAAGCATGTAAGAGGAAGGTAATATCAAAGTTCCATTGCTTGGATTGTAAGAAATGTTTATGTGCATCCTGTAAAACCCCACACGATTCGTTTTTCTCGAATCATCATGTTTCAGATCTAACTCATAGTAGAAATACAGTTGATGGGAGTCGACTTTTTTGCTACCGTCATAAAACTGAGAATGTGGAGTTTTATTGTAAAGATTGCTGCCAGATTATTTGTAAAAAATGCCAGATATCAGATCACAAAGATCATGACACATCAGACATAAAACTGTACCGAAAACTGGCTATGACAGAATTGAAAAATTATGTTGATAATGTCAACGAAAAGATTTTCTATATGAATGCGTCTGCTGTCACATCTTCTAAAAAAATTGACCAACAAGTACAAGCTATATGTGAAACTGTCACAACAAAGGGTCGCAAATTTAAACTACATATGCAAAGAGAGCTCCAAAAGGAGGAATTCAAGATGAAGAGGGTTGTGGAATCGTCAAAAAAAATCATTGACAAGTTGGAGGAGTCCGTGCACAATATTAATACTATATTGAAAGGTGATTCAATGTATGGCGTGTTAGATAGGCTGCCAACCCTTAAGAGTAAGCAGGAAGAAAATGAGGCACGTGAACTAAACGAGTTATATGACGTCACCAGCGAATTCGACCGCAAAATAATAAATACTACTTCAACTATTAATACAATGATGGGAGAGTTAAAGATAACCCGAAATGTTATGATTACATACTACTTTAAATACAGTGAAATTAAACACAATTGGAGATACAGCCCTGTATATAAAGTAGAAGATACATTGTGGCATTTCAAGGCCTTTGAGACCGGAAGTGGCCATCTAATACTTGGTATGATTGCTTATGGAGAAAATCTTGTATCAGACACACCAGAAGTTACCATTAAACTTGTCAACAGTACCGATGAGCAGAAATCAGTAGTTAAAGTCATGCGCAGACCGTGTTTGGCCACATTAAAGGCCGATTACACCTGGAATACTGGTTGTGAAAAGGGTAGAATGTCGTCAGCTGGATTTGTAAACAATGATCGATTCAGTCTCCAGGCAACTATCGCTGCCAAAGATATATTGTCTCAAAAATTTACTGAGCGCCATGGAAAACGCATCACTTAGTTTTTCGTATAACAAAATGATCCTGTAAACATATCTTATTTATTTTGCTTCTTATTGTGAACAATATTCAATTGGGAACACATCAATAACAACACATTTGTACACTTATGGATGTTTAATCTGTAATCAAGGGTACAAAGTCAGAGGGGTCAAAACCAAAAGTACGACACAGATGTCAGTAGCGCGTGTGTCCTCGTCGGGCCATCATCACGGTAGGCTACAGCATTAATGCGACCCCTGCAAATGTGTAGGGCGGTCCGGTGATAAAATGTGAAGCCTCCCCACACCATTACACTTTCCCCACCCCATCGATTCGTTTCGAAGACGCAGCAGTCTGCAAGACGTTCCCCAACACGTCTCCACACACGTTGACGGCCATCTTAGTGATAAATATGAAAGCGACTCTCATCACTGAAGAGCACACTTTGCCAGTCTACTCTTCTCCATGTCTTGTCCTTGAGCCCATATCAAACGCCGCTGACGGTGATGATCCCTGAGGATAGCTCCAACATAAGGTCGTCGTGCACGGAGTCCTACTTCTCTTAGACGACGTCTTACGGTGTTGGCACTTACTGGTCCTTGTCTTCCGACGACTGCTGGGCGGAATCTGTCACGCAGATGAGTGACCCGGATGTAGCGGTCTTGAGTCTGGGTTGTAACGCGTTGTGGACCAGGACGTTGACGGTCACGTGTTGATCCAGTAACTCGAACACGTTCCACCAACCTTACAATAGTGGACTGATGACAATCGAAGTGTCTGGCAATAGCACGTGTAGACATGCCAGCCCTGGACATTCCACTGGCTTCATTCCGTTGATTTTCAGTAAGTCTCGGCATCTCTAGCTCGATTCCTTCACACGTCCAACAACAAATTACGACAGATTGACGTTTCACAGTTCATGTACTGCACATTAAGTTGAAAACATGCTTTTAAAGGGCTCACACACAATGCTGCACGTGAATATTGGGTTTTTCATGTGCATCTCGTGCAATTTTGTTTTGTGCACACGGGCCGATATTTTTTGCGTTTGGGAGCATTGTGTGAAACAATAGTTCATAGTATTGCAGAATATTAGACATACAAAACCACCTAGTAATAAAATATTTGGGAAAAAAAGTGATGCGTTTTCCATGGCGCTCAGTATATTTATCGGGTAGTTATTTCCAATAAAAGTATGGCAAATTTGGTATGGAAAGTATAGACATCCAATCTTACTAGGAAAATACAGGATTATCCGAAAAACACCCATGGGGCGAGCACTGGGCAAAAATGTGAGGGTATCACTAACGGGCAACCCGATTGTTTTCTGCCAGCTTATTGTGTGCTAGATTGACTGAGAAAGCAGTTGGTAATTTTTGATCAAATGAGTAGGCGGTTTTGGAAACATTGAGGGATGTCAGCTTACAGAAGAGTCGAATGGACATTAAACCCCTTTAATCTCTCTTGGTATAGTTCGGAATAACGGTTGTTATAATATACATAGTTCAGTATAATAATATATTTAATTTAGTATAACCGTTTTATTACATAATATATATAGTTCAATATAACCGTTCTTATAACTTATATATAGCTATTATGTTTTTCAAGAAATTGTTGTAAAGGTTCAGACAGATTATTTTTTTTTTATAAAATCATTAAATTTGGGATATGATGTGTAAAATGTGAATATCTATTGCAGTACTATGCGTCGCTGGTTAGATGTGGAAAGCCAGTAAGCCGAAGACTCCCCACACCCAATGTGCGACTCATACTCTCTTCTCTGCTACATATTTTAATAGACTTGTGATCGTCTAATATTTTTAATTGTCTTCTTTAGCTTCCTTTTCACGTTGTGTATTTCCTTCTTACTATCTCACTGTCTTACTGTCTTACAAGGGATAACTAAACGATGCAACAGTTCAGTTCTATATTTGTATGACAAGCTGGATATATATGGTTACAATGCATACTAGATTACATTAGCATACTTAAAAATAACATCTTACTCTCAACTCCTGTGAAAGTCTAACCAGCATGGCTAGACTCCGGAAACGGCTACATCACATGGTCAACTAAAGAAACAAGGCGATGTCTACCCTCTCTGAGAATTCATCGATAGTCTCTAGGAACTCAGATGATATCTCTCCGGAACCCAATGATATCTAATCTTAAATGGCTGGTTGGGACTTTTTAACAGATTTGCTTACGTCATAACTTTAGATTCTGCAAATAATGACCTTGATTGGATGGTTATAGTGTATGATGCAATCAGTAAATTTCGAATCACGTGTTAACATGATATTCTGGTTCCCAAGGAACCAGCTATGTTTAGGTTTTATAAATCTTTTTTTTATATGTCAACCATTCACTCATTTTGATTTAAGTGCTTATGAGATAATATGACTTGTATTCAATGTGTGAATCCAATAATTAGTTAAAGATACAATATAATGCTATTTTTAATGTAAAGAGCAAGAATTCTTGCAACACTATCACATATCTTTTCTTGTCGATCACTTATTGCAATATTTTAGGTGATATTGAAAAAGAAACGATCTCGCCAGTTCTTGTTAGTGATTAGTAGAACCGAAATAAGGCAAACAAAAATGGAATAGGTGTGTGCTTCCATTTTATTTCGAATTATTCTTGAGAAATCACTACCATTTAACATTTAAAGACATGCCTATTTTAACTCTTTCCAAACATACAGGGATCACGCCACTAACTTTCAAGACCATAAAAGAAAAACAGATTACAAAGTAGCTAAAAGTCTAAACTATACCTTCCGATACATTGATGACATAACACCTACCAATGATAACGGAAATTTCAACAAATATAAAAGTGAAATATATCCTCCTGAACTAATATTAAATAAAGAAAATTCCGGTACTGCATCTGTTCTTGAACTGGACATCAATATAATTAACAATAAATTTAATGTCGGTATTTTCGACAAAACGGACAAATTTGGTTTTGAAGTAGTAACATACCCGTCAATCTATAGTAACATACCAGATACCACGCTATATAGTGTTTTCTATTCACAGGCATTACGATTTTTGACAATATGTAACAATAAAGAACTATTTCTCTCCCGAATAAAATCTCTTTACTTTAAATGCACCGCCAAAGGCGCTACACAATTACGCATTTAAAATTTCAAAACTTCCATTTCTTCAACATACCAAGTTTGACATTTCTTGTAAGTATATAACCGACTACATACTGGATAATGATCTAATTTAAATTTATTTTAGATTTTCTGTAGTTATCTAACCCTGTCTGAATTACCTCCCTTAATTTTATGCCTTTATAAATACACTTACATAGTACGATTTCTTCAACATACCTGTTTTGCATTTTTTTTGTGGGGTATTATATTAATATATTATAAATTGTACAATTACACAACTTAATAATTCCCATTAGTCGCTAAAACTTATGGTTTTTAATCTTTTAACGTTATTTTATCTGGATTATCGCCCTTATTATTGTGATTTTTTTTATCACCTTCTAAGATATGACGTCATTCCCAAAATAACGTCGCAACTCAGTCAGCAAACGGCTGTCCCTCGAGACAGTCTACATTTCCTATTTGCTTCTTTGTATTCAGTTTTGTTTTTGTGACGATGGAACATGTACCCTATATGTATTGAATACTGAAGCGTTTCGTGATTGAATTTAGGGTTTAGACTACTTTTTTTTATACATTTCACCGATGTGGTTACTTGTATAGTTGAATTTTACTACATATGCTTATATTCGTATTTCGTGTAGCATATAGCAGATCATGACTCATGCTGGCATTACACAATGGGTTCTTTGGGTTGTATTCCTAATTGTTTTCAAGTTTGAGTGAAGTCTGTGTCTGTGTCGCAGTGGACGCTTACGGCTAACTCACGGATCCATTCCCTTTTTTTTTTAATTGTCTGTATGTTTGTGTTTTCCTGAGTATGATGTCTTGTACGTGTATTTGTTTTTGTGTAAATTTTGTGTGGTGCAGTCCCCTTGCACTTACTATTAGATGGTCTACTGGTATTATGCGAATCGCTTGGATTCATTTGGGGCTTTGGTAATTGGCGTCTTCTTTGTAGAGGTACTCTTAGATTTAGCATTACTTGTTGCCTCGGTTTCTTTTGATTTGTTTTTCATGTTTCCAGATGGTTTCTAAGGCATCTTCACGGCCCTTGGTTTCTATTTTTCAGCAGATTTTTGGGTGACCCTTGCTTCAATTCTGTTTGTTTTCCGATTCTTGCATTCTTTGAATCCCGTTTTTTTAAGTGTCCTGGGTTTAGATTTAGCTCTAGCCGTCTTGTCCTTGTTTTCACTGGTAACTGCTGCATGTGACTAAAACGTTTGTATATCTTCAAGTTTTTTAATTAGTCTGTCAATGCTTTAACTAACTGTTTCTTGTAAGTGGGTCTAGATCTACATTAACATTATATCTATACATCAACAATTTTATTTAGTAAATAAACATTTCTTCTTGATACTGTTTTATATTCTTTGTTATTTCTATAAATGGTTTACGTTATTGATATAAACTATCAGGAAGCTTGTTATATAAGAAAAACAACTGTTAAAATCAACGTCTCTACCAAATGACCAGAATAATCATGACTGGTTATATGATGACGTAGTATTCCTATGTTAAATGACCTTAGTTGCAATGTTCATATTTGATTTTAAACTAGGGTATATTCATAATGTCATTAATTGACAACTCGCGGACGTTTTGAAAGACATGGTCCATTCCGCCAGGATATAATTGCAACTGGCTTGGGTAGTCATTGATTGGATGATATTATATACTATACTAGCAGGATACCCGGCTTCGCTCGGGGTCATAACTCCGAAACCGGAAGTGGTAGACTAACGCCACCTGGCCTATGTTACTCCCCGGTCCGAGCTACCCCTATACCCCAAATTTCAGACTCGGGGTAGACCTAGTGTAGCCGCCAACCCCGAACAGACCGGCTTCGCTCGGGGGTCATAACTCCGAAACCGGAGGTGGTAGACTAACGCCACCTGGCCTATGTTACTCCTCGGTCCGAGCTACCCCTATACCCCAAATTTCAGACTCGGGGCAGACCTAGTGTAGCCGCCAACCCCGAACAGACCGGCTTCGCTCGGGGGTCATAACTCCGAAACCGGAAGTGGTAGACTAACGCCACCTGGCCTATGTTACTCCCCGGTCCGAGCTATCCCTAGACCCCAAATTTCAGACTCGGGGCAGACCTAGTGTAGCCGCCAACCCCGAACAGACCGGCTTCGCTCGGGGGTCATAACTCCGAAACCGGAAGTGGTAGACTAACGCCACCTGGCCTATGTTATTCCCCGGTCCGAAGTATCCCTAGACCCCAAATTTCAGACTCGGGGCAGACCTAGTGTAGCCGCCAACCCCGAACAGACAGACAGACAGACAGACAGACAAACGACAGTCACAAATATATTTTTAGATTATCGGTCTTGCCATGATATTTATTTTGCATTGGAAGGACGATCTGTTTAAAAACCATGTTCTTTCGCAGAAAAGAAATGGAATGGGGTTTAACGGTCTACTTTTCTACTCCACCCGGAGTTGTTAAAGGATCTAAATCTGTATTCTTTGGCGCTTAGAAATGGACACAAATGGGCCGTAACGCATATAATAATGTGATATGAATGTATATAAAATTATTTACATCCAGTCGTTTCTGTTTTTACTGTAATTTCTAATCATTTATGTTTGACGAAGAGTCTAAATTGAATGGCAGTCTTTGGTGTCTGGTTATTCCAGTCTACAACGGTAGTATTCTCCTGTGGGATATGTTCAGCCTCATGCATGTATATAAACTGATTTACATTCCATCGTTTCTGTTTTTACTGCCATTTCTAATCAGTTTAAATGTTCGGCGAAATACGTGAAGAGTCCAAATTAAATGGCAGTCTTTCGCATCTGGTTATTCCAGTCTACACCGATAGTATTTTCCTATGGGATATGTTTAGCCTCGTTCATCGAGTCATCGCATTACAAATGTCGCTCGAAAGCATTCTAAATATTTTCATTTTATCTTAAATATTGGATATCAGAAGCCCATCTTGTCTCTTGTCACGGTAAGAAAACAGCGCCAATGTTGATTTAAATTGACCAATGAGTGAGTCGTGATTGCAATGTCGAAGACTGTGGATGACTTGCCTACTTTAAGACGAGCAAACGTCACGCGAATAGATGATGTCCTTTGCTACTCTAGGGCCTCTCGTCCTGCACCACTGACAATGATCGAACTCTGGATCTCCAGGTTAGCGTCTTTTCTCGCTGAGGCACCAGAACCAGCTTCCGACAAAAGAAATGGAAATAAAAAGGGAACTTACTGGTTCAATGATTTAAACTTTCATAAGTTTATTCATGGAAGTTAGTTCGTCAATGTAACCTAGAACTTTTTCAGAAACAATATAATATTTCAAAATGGCTAGAATTATGATCAATCATTATTAAGGCAAATGTACACACGTACTTCATAGTTATTACAACCTGGTAAAATGTTTCTATTTTACCTTTTATGTTATCAACGTTCAATCCCGGTTCTATATCATTGCCAGCGTTATTTGAATTATTGTAGTGGGTTTTGTAAACTATGTCTGTGTTGTTTTTTTTAAATTATTAGTAAACAATACTTACCTTTTTACTAAATATTTATTTTGAACCACCTTTTCTGTGTTAATAAAATCTTGAACCGTATTGTGTTGTCCGTAGATTTGTTTTGTGTAAATTATGTGTGTTGCGGTCCCCCTGCATTTACTATTATACATACATTATGCAAGGGTTAAATCTGCCTATTGCAGGCCTTTCTTTAGGCCTGAAATGTTATCTAAATTATTCATTAGATATTAATTAACTTATCCAGGCCATAATCAACTCTTGATGCCACCGCTAGCCTGCGATATTTAGCGGATTGGAATACATTTTTTTGAAAAATAATTAAACGTAAAATTGGATAATCGAGACTTTGTTTTTTATCGTACCGACTTTAGTAATGATGATCGAGGCTAGCCTAAAATTCAAAAGCTAATATCTCGGTTCAGGGTGGAGCCATTTGACTGAAATTTTCAGCATATTCTTTTTACGTTATTTATTTTTAATATTATAACGAGAATTGTCAACTCTTTATCTAATCTCCCATAATGCCCCTTTAAGTTTAATAATACACGTCTCACGTCTATCAGTACAATGATAGCACTCGGCAAACCTCAGCAGATTTCAGTACCCTACATCTGTCGAGGTTTGCCGAGTGCAATGATAGGACAATAATGTGACGTCACATTTTATCTATGACGTTATTTATACATCTATTTTTAGACATTTCGATGTCTCTTTTATATTATCTTCAAGTGGTATCTGTTGATACGCGTGGTTTCAAATCTGCAAATTAAACTCAAAAATGGCAAGAAACAACATATTTACTGTCTGTTCCAGGCGACACTACGACTCGAAAATTGCTTGCTATTTCTTCAATTTTTAATTAAAATTGTTAAAACTTAACGACCTACCTGGAATTGTCATCCCTTTACTTTCTACCGCACGTTAACTAATTTCAGATCAAGCTATATAACATTTCTGTCTTGAAAAATCGTTGTTTATTTACTTCGCGGTATTGAAGACAGTCATGCTTGACCTAGTTATCTGGAATAAACCAAATCGAACAGGGGTGTGGATTTGACTTTGGGTCGTTTCGTCCTACTTGCATGTTTAAATAGTTGTTTCGACCCAGTAGAACATAACTTGCTTTAATGAGCTATTTACGGGAGGTAATATATGAATTTGCTATTTGGTTTCAGACCACACTTGTTTGCTCCACTGCCATAGATATTAAATTGGCGGCCCCAGTCTGGTGGCTTTCGGAAATTGATATAAACTACATACAAAGTGTGACCTAATATTGTAGTGACACGTCATGGAAATTTGGAAGTATCTAGCTTTGGGATAATAGATATATAACTGTCGCTTTTATTTGGTTTTGTACGACTTTTAATACTATTTTCTTGTTTTTTTTTTCTTTTTTAAAAGTTTTAATCCATTTGAAAAGGGGGCGCTCCTAAGATATTTTTATAGATAGCCTACTCTATTTCTTGTTTGATTTAGTTTGTTTTTTATTTTGTGAAATGCCCCTAACCAATCGATAATATGATAGAAAACGCAACGGGGTAGTAGCCAAACAAGGTCAACTCCTGATAGATCAAGGGCATTAATTCCGTTTTTGTGTTCAGACCACGGGTGGTTTTTTTACATTTAATTTATTCACATTGATTCGTCGTGAACTAAATTAAATTTCTGCCAGTCTACCTGTTAAACAAGAAAACGGAAAATAAATTGTTTTATACAAAATCATTTATTTACACAAACTCACAGAAAATGCTCCAACTATATACAATATAAATTATAGAAGTTGTCTGGCCTACATTCACGCTATCTATCATACAATTTACGCAAACAATCTACACACTTCACCACACTTGCACTTACATCAATCTCTTTCCCTGTACATTTCATATGCATCCACCTTTCACACAAATCACAGCCCACCCAATCCACAATCGCATCCGACTCACTTCCCGGTGGGTTCTGACAATCACATACACTACACACATTTTTATCATCATCACTCAAATCTTCATTCGCAACACCACCGCCATCCATATTCTCAGTAACCTTTTCACTATCACTCTCTCCACTGACATTCTCGCCCAAATCTTCACTCTCACACCCAAACTCGCTGTCACTCCCGAACGAAAATACGGCTGGTGGTACTTCCTCATTCAATCTTCCCGCTTCCTAAAACCGATCCTCCACCTTGTCTATGACGTGTTGACATGCCTTAGCCCAGTCTGTAGCTGTCACACTTGCCTTGGCCTCCAGGAACAGACGCTTAACGTCTTTGATTTTGAAAGTGGTATTTTTTCGGGCGACATAGGCCTTTTCTTGTGCTAAAATGAAAATATTTTTGATTTAATGTGGATAAACTTTAAAATGTTATAAGATGTAGTAAAAGCTTCCATAAATGAATGTTTTAACCCTTTTTAACATCACAGATAAGACAAGATTTATTATCTTTCAATACCGTCAACTTGACTGCCGTCCAAATTGCAGTGTTAAGTATTACCTTGAATTATCTCTATTGGGTTTAACTCGCAGTGCCTTACTGGTAATCCCGATCAACCGAACCAGCATCTAAGATGATCAGTCTTGATCCCTTACCAGAAGGAATGAATCTATCGCATTCATTGCAGTTTGGGAGAATTATGCCCAATGACCCTATAAATATAATAACATATGATTAAAATATGTCTATCCATAGATACTACATTAAAAATATAAACTTGCATAAGTATACGTAATAAGAAAGCAATTAAAAAAGTCATTACCTTTCCTGTTTTCTGTCCATGTTCCATGGATGGCTTGGTTAGCATTTACCATGTTTCATCCAGGTATATAATTTCATAGCCT